AAAAATCATAAAATATTATGTTGGATAATAAATTAATTAATTGATTCCCTAGGAAATAAATTAATATCAATATATGGTACTTCAAAGCCATTTTCTATACATTTTCATAAAATCCACAATGTTCAAGTAAAATAAAATAAATAATTATGATTATCTCATAAACTACTTACTATATAAGGTAAAATTTAAAATAAAATATTACTATGAGTAACTACAATCTATGATTCATTGTTTCCTTTTTCCCTTCTAAAAGAGACCAATTCACTTGCTCTTCTAGAGTACCAATTTCTTAGAATTCTAAGTTATTTTTAGGGTATTATCAAAACTAGTTATTAAGCAATATGGTAAACATCATGCTACTACAGTTAATTTCTGTGTATTTAATACAGCAACATCTTGTGTTTACCAGAATAAGATGTAGGTACATCAGAAATACTGCTATTTGAGTTCTCAGTTTTCAATATTTTTGGTATGAAGAATTATAAGATAAATACTTTCTCCTTTGAGAAAGGAGAACAGAAGAAATTAGGCAAGAATGAAAAAAAACTGAAGAGAAACAGTTAAGTAAGAAGAGATAAAGATGTTAAAGGAAAAGGGAAGAAAATTAAGTTAGAAGAAAAATCTGAAAAACAAAGATGACAATTTAGTAAATTAAAAATAGAGATAGAGAGAAACAGCACTTCTGGGGTTAGCCAATATCATGCTATTGATTCCACTCAAAGGGCTACTCCTCCTGTTGAAACCTAGGACTAGGGTTGTAGGGTAAGAGTGAAGGAAAAGGAGAACTGGGCTTTAATGGGTCACCACACTCTCCATCCATTCCAATTATGTTGGCTTTCCCTTTAATCAATACTTTACTGTCCTGGGGTTGAAGGAACAAGAGGGAGAGGACAGAGTAAAAAATGGGAGACTAGAATGAGAATAAAGGAGATAAATCTGAGAATTATATAAATGAAGTTAGAATAACCCTTCCAGATGACACAATAGTCCTTTAATTTGTTCCTTCCAACACCCTCCACCCCATCCCCTCTGCCATCACCAGTTTAACACTTGCTAAACAATGTTCGCTATTTGGGGGTTATGAGAACCACTACCTTATAGCACTCATCTTCCATCTCTCACTAATCAATGCCCAACATCGTATTTGCTGCAGTCTATCTTCTTCTTAACTATCCCAACCTGGTTATTTTCCATTCAAGTAGCCTTTATAGCCACATCTATTAAACCATTTTTTGACATAATGTAATCACCAGGTTCCAGAAGACCTTCCAAAATAATAAGAATATTTAAAAATATTTACACAAAATGAAATTTTTCCAAATGCTGGATTGAACCATCACATATCCCACTCTTTTCAACTGATATTCCTATGAAGAAAATATCTGTTTTTAAAGCTTTAGAACACACATCAAAAAAGAGGATTAACATGAAATTTAACAAATTTATTAGGAATGTGCCCAAATAGATAACTATAAATATTAAATAGTCTCATCAACTAAAAAGCATGTTAAAAGTGCATCATGAGGGCAGAGTTGCTGAGTCAAACTATGCCGAGGTATCTCCCAGAGAGAGGGATGTAGTGACAGATGAAGTGGAAAAAATCTTGGGAGATTCCAGCAGCCTTTGAGGAGTTGGATCTTCACTGGCAGGGAAGACATGCAATAGGACTCAGTCTGCTTTGCTTGGATGTTCATGATTTTTTCTTCTTCCTACCTGGCAGCCACAGTTTCTCAGCCACAGAAGTATGGTCATTTGAAAAGCTTAAAAGCCACTTACAATAAAAAATATAGCAACATGAAAAAGGACATAAAACTTCCAGTTTCATTTTAAATAAGAAAATATAGTTTTTTTATAAAAAAGCAAACTCAGAACACACACATCTAATTGTACATCTTGAAGATATACCATACTAGCAATCTCAAAAAATAGTACTTGAATTCATCTGTGATTCATTCAACTTTCTCAGACTCATAGGGAAAAAATTCAAATTGCTTTTCTAGATATTTAAAAATAAGAATAGTTATCAGATTTTATTTTGTACATTGCTACCTATAACAGAAAATTTTGAAATAACAGAAAATACTAACTACTCACTGGCCTAGTAACATTCAAAATAAAAGACTAAATATTACTCTTTTCATTATTGAGTCTAAATTGTTATAGAATATTACTAACAATATCTCACTATTTTGATCCATTACTGGATTAAAATATTAAGTTTATATTTCAAATGTATTAAGCCATAGTTAAATGTAAATATTATATCATAATCAACCTGGTAATAAATGTAGGGAGATAAGGGGTAATTGTAGAGTACAAATAATTTATACTTGTTTCAACTAATTTATCTACCTACCAAATCTTTCATAGTAACAAAACCCAGGAAAATTCCATTTCACCACTTCTGTATACTGTGTAGTAAAACAATTAAAATCACTATAAAGACCACAATGCCCACTACAGCAAGAAAAAGAGGGCAGAGTAAGCTGCATTTTATAAAATGCACCATTTTTGCACAAATATGCCTCTCACTTGAACACAAATATCTGGTAATTGATCATAATATTAAGGAAGACTGGTGTCATGGAATTCAACATAGTTTCCTGTCAGAGACTGCCTTTATTATTATCTAAAATCAATTTGTAGGTTCTAGTAGCAGTCTGTCAGGAAACCGGGCTCCAATGGGCCCAACTATTGTAGTAAGTAAAAGGAAGAAAAAAGGAGGTCAAAAGTTAATTTATATTGAGCCACTACTGTGAGCCTGGCATTGTGATAAGCTTTTTACATATCTTATTTATCTGAAGGAAAGGAATGAAAAAGTTAAATTTCAACCCCATTTCTAATTTTAGTACTACTGATCCTACCCCTGCTATGTAAATTCTCACTCCCTTTCCTCTTCCCTTATCTTTGACCCACTTAATCTCTCACTGAATCCTGAGATTTACTTACATGATTGTTAGAATTCTTCCCCTTTTGCTTGATAATTTTATCATTTGAGGTTGGGGAGGGAGTAAAATGAAACTAAAGTAAGAGCATGAGCCTTAGACTCAGAGAGCTTGGTGTTGTAGGTTAAGTTAAATAATCACTCTAAGTCTCAATTTCCACATATACCTTCTTTGTAGGATCACTGTAAGGAATAAATGACATAAAATAAGTAAAGTACTTAACATTATGCTTGGCACACTATAGAACTCAGCAAGTGTTGGCTATAATTATCATTATAAAAAGGTAAAATGATGCTTCAGTAATTACCATAACTCACTTAAAGCCATAAGTCAATTTCAGAGCAAAAACTGGAAGCAAGTTTCCCCACCATTATTCTGTGTAGTTTTGAATATTTTAGAATATTCCTGTGATGCAAAGATATTACACATTCTCACAGTATTTAAATATCATCAACAGATATAGATTTATTAGCTCATTTGTAGCTTTTAAAGACTTTCATGTTCATTTCGTAAATATCAGAATCTTTGCTCCACAAAGAGTATCCTTTAAACAACTTATTTTTCATTAGAGACTAATTTCTATCCTCTTAGAATTGACCAACTGGAAATTGGTCCATCAATCCAACAGATGTCATGTTTGTTAAGGTCATGTTGGAGAAATAGAAGCAACTTGAACACTATAAGAGGGAGAAGCTGCCTATCTAATGAAGCCCCTGCTTTATCCCACTATCCAAATCCTCATCTTAGGGGATAAGAAACTTTAGTCAGGACAACCACTTTGTATAGTTTCTAGTGATGAGAACTTAATCATCATCAAAACTGTCATAGTGTGCAAAGGCTTTTTCAATTACTAACATTCTGCATTAATTTCTATTAACCTTATACTCACATATTTAATTTTTAAATTTATATTAACTTTTATTCACTTAGTGAACTCATTGAAGAAATATCATAACTTTAATTATCAATGTTCAGCAGGCTCCCCAAAATATCACAAACTTTTCAGTTTATTCAAAGCCAAGATTAAAATGACTTCTGCCTTAAGATCAGTAATCAGAGAAGGATCAGACTTTTCACACAAGTCTTCTAACCCCCAAATTTGGCCTTTCTTTTTAAAATTTCTTCTATGACTGGAACATGCAAAAGCAAATTTAGTTAAAGGTACAACAGGAAATAATTACTTATGCTAAAAAATTAGCTCTAAAAATATTTATCACAACAAAACCATTTCTTCTCAAATGAGGATTATTATATTAATAATAATATTATTTTGCCTTCATTTTTTAAACAATATATTCTATTCGGGAAGAGATATGAGAACAAAGTGAATCAACTGAGATAGAAAATAGTCTAAAATGAAAATCATGTGATGTTCACTTTCTAAATCTGAGATTAAGAAAAATAGCCCTTGAAAATCTAACATAGGCACAGAATGCTACTGTCATTCTTAGCCTAGAAAGGGATTCATGAGGTTCATAAAGCAAGAAATTTTATGAACTTATTTAGTTCAGCACAATAGTTTTAAGACTAACACTGTAGTCCTCTTTTGGGAAATGAACAGCTAATTCGGCTACTAAATATTATTTTTTTAAAAAAATCAACATTCAAAATAAATCAATATACCAGGTAATTTAATGAACAGATCAATCTTAAAGTAAATGAATGCTGTTAAAAAAACATATCAACTAGGTAATTCAATAATTTATAAAATAAAACTTAAAAGTTATATCAAGAAAATGATAAATTTGTATGCATCATGACTTTAATTTATATTCCAAATTATTATCCCTGTTCATGGGGTGCATAATGTTACCTTGTAGCTGTCCATATAGAAATGCATATCTAACCTCAGTCATCACCCAAATTCCTCATGTTCTTTTAAAACTATGCCTTACATTCCATCAAATAATTAAGAAGAATAGTTATTCAATTATTTTTAAAGGTTATTCAACTATTTTCTACACAAACAGGCATTTCATTTCATTGATTTTTTTCAAATTTTAGGAAATATTTATATTACTTCCTCCCACTGACTCAGAAGGTAATTATACATACCACAGTCTGATGATTAACTTGAATCACTTCATCACCAGCATGGATTTTTTTGCACCGATCTGCAGGTGACTAAATGTAACATAAAGGAAATGATAAAGAACATAAATTTTATCAGTCATCTCCTCTCTCTGAAACACTATAATAAGTTCAATTCTTTAAATTAGATCAATAATTTAATTATCATCTTCTGGGAATTAAGCTAAAAAAAGATTACTAGCTTTTAATATACTGTTTGCATTCTATGTATAACTAATGATGGAAAGTAGAAATGCAAAACAATATATATATAGATATTTATGTTATAAAAGACCAGTATGTTTCTGAGAGCATAAAGGGGGAATAATAATTAGTATTAGCCAGTGCAAACTTTATACAGGCCACCCTAGTAGGCTCTATTGGGAAAATGGTTCAAAAATGCAATTCAAAACATTATCTTTTTAAAATTTGATCCTTTCTATTTAATGTAAATAATTCACACTAGCTTTAGCAAATAAATATTTTCAAGTACATGCTTATGATCAGCATTAGAACTCTGTCAACTGATGATTAAATCACTAATTTATTTCATTATTAATACCATTGATTCTGAATAACTTAGAAAACCAAGTTAAAAGTTACATTATGTAACATTCTCTATCTAAATGTCTAATTATAAGAACATCACATTTCTTATGTTTCATACAGTGTAATATATTGGCAAATAAAACCACATGAAGTAAAACTAAAATGCCTGCATTTCCACAAGAGGTAGCAATTTCATCACTTTTTAAAAATTCTCATAAGAGACTAAAAGCAAAAGTAAACAAGCAAAAAACAACTTTGGTAAATTAATGTGACAAGTTTATGAAGTCTTTAGAAAATAAAATGAGATTTAAGATAGAAATTTGATTTTAATTTTTTTAAATTTATTTTTTTTAGATTTTATTTATTTATTTTTAGAGAGGGAAGGGAGAGAGAAAGAGAGAGAGAGAGAAAGAGAGAGAGAGAAACATCAATGTGTGGTTGCTGGGGGCCGTGGCCTGCAACCCAGGCATGTGCCCTGACTGGGAATCGAACCTGCGATGCTCTGGTTCCCAGCCCACGCTCAATCCACTGAGCTACGGCAGCCAGGGCTAAGATAGAAATTGTATAATATTATAGGTATGGGTAATGAATTTAAAATACTATTTTTTATTTTTCTTTAGTGGCTACTGATTATTGATTATACATATTTCAATGTATATGAACTCTTGAATGTACAGAAAATGTGTTTTAATGAAAAATATGCTTGTGCACTCATGTGTGTTAATTTCTCTATCAAACACAACTATACATACTGTAATATTTATTCATTAGTATCTACTGAAAGCTAATGAAGAATGATATGATGATGAATTGGAAAGTAAAATGCTACATTTGAGACCCTGGGATAGGATTTACTTTAAAAGTGATTTCTCATTCCTTTATTTTCTTATCCATTTCCAATTTCCAATTATTTCAAAAACAAAGAAATCAAAACAATATTAACTTCAATTTCAACAAATTTTAAAATCCACAAAAAATTATTTGCCATAGACTACAATTCAGGACAAGGTGACATCATAGGGAATTCCAGTTTGAAGCAGTAACACTATACTATTGAGAGAATAGTTCATCTAGGATATTAACCCAACCCTAAGAATGATGTCATAACAAGAAAAGATTGTATTTATTTTACAGCATTTTTAGGAGGTGGGTATATTTTAATAAATTAGACAAGTACTATATTACGATTCTAACAAGTTTGTAAACCATTACTTTAATAAAGATGTAACTGTAGAGTAAGTCCTTGTGCTGTCTGGCTCACAATTGATGTTTTTAAAGGATAGTATGAGAGAAAAAATATCTCATTGTGGTTTTAATTTGCATCTCTCTGAAGGCTAGTGATGCTTTCATATGTCTCTGGGGCCTCTGTGTGTCCTCCCTGAAGAAGTGTCTGTTCAAGTCCTTCGCCCCTTTTTTAATTGGGTTATTTGTCTTCCTGGAGAAAATGGAGACAACTGTACTTGAATAACAATAAAAAAAATAAACTGGCCCTGGTTGTTGTAGCTCAGTGGATTGAACGCTGACTTGTGAACCAAAGGGGTTCATTTCTCAGCCAGGGTACATGCCTGGGTTGCAGGCCAGGTCTCCAGTAGGGGGCACACGAGAGACAATCACACATTGATGTTTCTGTCTGTCTCTTCCCCTCTGTCTACAAGTAAATAAATAAAATCTTAAAAAAAAGAAACTAAGGGGAAAAAAGTAAAAATATCAAGCCAATAGTTCTAATCATGATGTAAAAGAAAATGATAGTTGATACATAAAATTCAAAGAATCTGAAATAATTTTTTGAAGAGGTAAGTAAAAAAGGGACTAAGTCTTATAAATTATAGACTTCTAGTTTTAAAAGGGAACGTAAAGATCATTTTGTCTAAACCCCACATTTTCCATATGAGAAAACTAGGAAACTAGGGCACAGCAAAGCAAAATAGCCACTTTAGTGAGTAGCTTTATTAAGACTCAACACAAATCTCCTAATGACAAATGACTGAGGCTACCAAAAATAATAAAATATTTTGAAGAAAAGGGAATTAAGTGATGGACTATTAATATTTGGCTCATATCTGAACCACTAACAGAATCAATCTTTCTTTGATAACTTGTTCATTTATCAAATGTTACTGAGTAATTAATATGATCAAAGCATAGTGCTCAACTTTTTTTATACAACAGACAATATAGGAATGAAATTCCTACCAATTCTTCAAGATACAGTTCAAAATCACAATTTCTGTGATTCCTTCTCTGATTTCACTTGTCAGTATTTACTGTTCTTTACTGTTCTTACTGTATTTTACTGTCTATCTATGCAAATTTCATAGCCTGTTTACACAGACAAATGCCTACTTGCACTCTGTAGAAGCAGCAAGCTAATTTAACTTTTAAATTCTTTCAATACCTAGCCCCATGCCTGAAACACAGAAGATATGAACAAAGGTTTGTTAAAATGAATGAATAAATAAATGAATGATCAGAGGGATATACAAGTATATGAGAATGATCAATCAATGAAAAGTTTATAGGTTACAGTATCTCACTGCATTTAAAACATTAAATAGTTCACAACATGAATTTAAATGATATTCTTGATCTCACATACCTCTCATACTTAATGCCAAATGTGAAGTCAGTATAGCAAGCCAACTATAGCATATTATTATGTGTTTCATCATTCATAGAAACCAAGAAAAGTAGGGAGGGGAATCAATAAATATTTAAAGTAATAGTAGAGTTAGATGACAATGTTGATTTTTAAAAAGAAAATGCTAGTAAAATGGTAAGATCAATAATAACTTAAAATTAACCAATTCCACCTCAGTCTTCTTTGAAAGAACACAGCAAAAACATGCATGTTGTCAGAATTTCTAAAAGAATAACATTCAAAGATCTGCACCTCATTAAAAGGAGTAGGAACAAAATCTGGGACAACCCAATGCAGGAATAATGATTTATTATACTATTCAAATCTATTATAATAATAGTATTAATGCCCAACACAATGACTTCACATTTCTGTAACTTTACAGCATACTCGTTCACATTCATTAACTTGTTTGATTTTTCACAACAACCTAGTGAGATATGTAGTGCAGATGGTTTACGTCCAATTTATAGATTAGGAAACTAAATTAATGAGAGGGTAAGTGACTTGCCAAAAATTACACTGTTATTAAGCTGCAGAACTGCTTGTAGGACTGGGGCCCAGGGACTCACTCTGACCCACTGCTTGCAGTAGTTATCACAGGCTGCTCTCCAGAGTTTTTGATTCAGTAGGTATGGGGTGGGACCTGAGAATCTGCATCTCTAGCAAATTCCCAAGATAAGCTGATCCTGCTGGTACAGGGAGTTCCTCACTGAATACCAATGAATTATACCAGGCCTCTACTAAATTAAGCTGAATTATATGTAAAGTATTCAGAAAGCATGACTTATCTGATGTTTCTTTCTTATGTGAGCTAAGTTTCTTAGCATAAATAAACTATTTGACAGATGGAAATGGATTATTTTAGATGTCACAATAACTTGTCATGAACCAGAAAATACTTAACAAGGACAAATCTCTGCCTGCAAACAAAACATCTGATTTACTTGAAGTAAATTGCTATTCTAAACTAAATAAACTGATTGAAATTCTCCCTAAACCAGCAGTTACTAACTTAATATATTTCCAGTTTTATCTCCTAATTAGTTCATACTCTCAGAAGTCAACTGTAATTATGTGAGATATATAAGGTTGTTTAACAACAAAAGAAAAAAACCCCAAATTTGAAATGTTACAATACTTACATTTTCTGTAGTTCCAGTAATTACGTGGAGACCATCATATGTTGATTTAATATACATACCCTAAGAAAAAGACAGATTCAGAAAAAAAAGTGAAGCAACTGGCATATTTCCAGGTATATATACAAAAAATTACTCTATCAAATTATTATTTAGTTAGAGTTTTAAATTTTCTTTTTAAATGACAGTTTATATTCAATATTATTTTGTATTAGTTTCAGGGGTACACAATAGCAGTTAGACAATCATATACTTTTCAAAGTATTCCTTCCAATATTTCAAGTACCCACCTGACACCATACATAGTTATTACAATAGTGCTGAACCCTATCAAATTAAAATTGCCACATTCCCCAGGAATGAATCTATGATTCAATAATGTCATCTTTAAATTGGTAAGAAATTCTTATCTGAATGTGCTGGGTTCTAATGTTAGCTTGAAGAAAGCTGTACATGGCTTAATCAAATAACTACTCAGTAAGTGAACTGCCTATAAAACTTGTAAGATGCAGCTTCATAATGCAATATCCTGAAGAAAGAACACACATCAGCCCTCAAAATCCACACTATAGGTTTTGTGGCAAAATAAAAATTACAATGAAAAATTCTAACACTGGTATGCAGTTAGCTTATTATATTTGATACATATTATACAATAATAAGTAGGCTTCTACAGAGCCACTTCAACTACAACTAACTAGATACAAAAGAGTGATAAAATACTGTTAATGTAAACTGTTTTTCTCCTGGTCTTTTGTGGGATCCTGCACTTTCTGTCTTTATTTCTTATTGATGAAATTGTAATAATTATATACAATCATCTCTATATCATTAAATAAAAGGTAATGTGTGGCAACACCCCCTTCCAATAAAGAGGATGAGTTTCCATTTTCCATTTAAATAAAGCCATTTTATAAAAACTTCATTGAAATGTAAAAATTATCCAGAAATCCTGAAACTGAAGCTGTTAGAGCAAACAATACCTTTAAATTATGGATAGTGATAGGACTTAAAAGAGCTGTACCTATAAAAGTACTTTGCATTTAAAAATATTTATTTGAAAAAGAAAAAATACTAATTTTAATAAATTTGAAGTATGAAATATAAGGGACTTAACATAACCAACAATATCATTTCAGAAAAAGCATATATTTAAGCACTTATGTTAGGAAGTTACTATAATGTTAATTTCCCACACCCTTATGTTAGTTATACATTTAGATGCTGGGATATACATGTATTTTCACTGAAAATAAGTAAAAAAAATATAAACAAGAAGCAGTCAAGTTCATGGTATGGCATTATTAAGAAGTCATCATGTAGGTTTTAATTCTGAAAAGTCATTTCAATAATGTCATTGTGTCTAAAATGTTGGTATCAGTCCCCAAAATGGCTAAGCCTGGATCTCTAATGTGAAACAAAATGAATGTAATTTAAAAGATGTTTACTTACCTGTGAACTTTAGTTCCTTAAATGGAAGTTCATCACTACATAAAATAAATTACTAACCTCAACGCAAGTGCAAATAGAAATTAATTAAGAAATTAGATAGTAGTCTTTGGCTATGACCATATGGTAATATTCAAGCTTACACTGGTGACAAGTGTATAACATACCTTTGAAGTTGATATTTATTCCAGTATTTACTGGAAGGTAAATATAATGGTGCTAATATGGAACTCAGAAAAAGACAAGATTCTTGAAATCATTCCCCCTCACCACCCCCAGGAATTGGGAATTAACAAAATGACGTGAAATTGGTAAAGGATCTTGGCCCTGGCTGGTGTAGCTCAGTGGATTGAGCGCAGGCTGCAAACCAAAGTGTTGCAGGTTCGATTCCCAGTCAGGGCACATGCCTGGGTTGTAGGCCATGATCCCCAGCAACCACACATTGATGTTTCTCTCTCTCTCTTTCTCCCTCCCTTCCCTCTCTAAAAATACATTTAAAAATCTAAAAAATAAAAATTAAAAATAGCACAATATTTTAAAAAAATATATGTCTTTAAAAAAAGAAATTAGTAAAGGATCTCAAAGTATATTTGTAACAGCTAAATGCTGAATTTTGTTTTAGTTTTGTACACAGAATGACTGTGAGAAGATAAAGTAGAAAAGGACAGTGAAAAAAACAATATATATTTCTTGGACATACAAAACAATCACCACTCATTATTTGTTACCATCATCACTAATATCTACTTGTTATAACATGGCAGGGACTGTTTTAAGTGTTTTACATTTTAAATAGAAACTATCATTACTTCTGTTTTAGAGATAAGGAAACAGGTAAAGGAAGGCTAGGGAGTCTGCCCAAGGTGGTGTAGCCAGTTTTCAAGTCCAGGCAGTCTGACTCCAGACCATAATCTCGACACTAGGATCTTGATTTATTGATTTATTAACAGGAGAGTTGTATACCTTCACTTATCAGAATATTTGGCAACTATAGATATTAAAGTCAAATGTTCACTGTTTAACATATATTTGAAAATACTAAGAACTCTTTAGCACACATGTACTATGTGCAGTGCATTTATAAATATAGAGTAACTGGATTTAATATTTTACAAATTTACTTTAATCACCTATCTCTTTTGACAACTGTAAGCCAAAGTTGATTATATTTCCCTCACAATTCTTTCAACACTGTGCATTACTGATTACAGATTAAAGAGTTTGACAAGAGCTCTAAATAATCTCATAAATGATTAGATCATAAAGTCTAGTATCCTAAGAGAAATGTTTAGAAATGACATTATAGTTATTGGGCTAATAAAAACTTATGGAGATAATCTAGTTATGACTCTGGAGATAAAATCTGGGTGTAATTATTGCATATACCAGGAACTTTAAAAATGGCAATTGTAAGCTAAAACAAGTATATATTAGTTATAGGAAGAGGATCTCATCATTATTTATACATAGTTAAATGTTATATAATTTATATTAAAGCTACTTTTTCAAATGGTTGAAAAATGTTTAAATGCTTAAATAAAGAAGAATCTAGCAATGTATGCAGAATTCAATTCCAGCAACCTCATAGTTATGAGCAGTAGAATAGAAACAAAGCACATTTTAATTTTTATTAAAATTTTTTATTGTTGTTCAAGTACAGTTGTCTCCATTTCCCCCCACCCCAGCCACCCCCAATTCCCACCCTTGATCCTACCCCCATTTGGTTTTATCCATGTGTTCTTTATACATGTGCCTAAAAACATTTTTAAAATGCACAGAGAATGAATATATTTTCTTTTATGTAATATTTTAACTTTTAAGTTCAATAAATCATTTTCTGCAACTGCTTTTCTTAATAGGGGCATAAATGGTGATGGATGGAGACTTGACTTGGGGTGGTGAACGCACAGTACAGTGTACAGGTGATGTGTTGTGGGACTGCACCTGAAACCTATATAATTTTGTTAACCAGTGTTACTCTAATCAATTTAATAAAGAAGAAAAAATAACAAAACTAACTTATTCATCCTTTTGATCTTCCTCTGGTAGTACTAAAGAGAAAAAAGGCCAAAAGTCAGGGACCAAAAGGAAGAGAAGAAACAAGTTGCTTGGATGACCTTTAACTAATCAAGTTCTCAGTAATGAAGAGTCCACAGAACTACACCTGATCACTTGTTCACCTCTTAGAAAGGGTCAAATACCAAGAGGACATACACATATCATTCAAATGGCCCTTTTTCTGGAAGTGAGACAAATTTAGGATTCCATTTCATCAAAACATTCATTCTTCCTTTGTTTCTAACACCAATTAATTCTGGAGCTGACTTGAACAGCTCCTTCTACTCAGCTCCACTTGCCAAAATGATGTTTGCTTTACTCTGTCTCTGAATGTTGGTTAACCAATAAGAGCCAAAGAAACCTCACAGTCAAGTTAATGAAATAAGGTATATTTGGAGATGGTCCAAGTGCCTAAATAGCAAAAGAACTCTCTGAGGCTAAGAGACTTCCCCAAGGATGCCCACTGCCCTCAGCCCTTTATTCTCTATTCAACTCATCTCTTGGCTCTGATCTAGTTAGATATGTTTAGCTCTCATTTCCCATCTTTAATTTTCTGCTAATTGTTGTTGTTTAAAAGCATTTTTTAAATTAGGTTCATATTTTTAATCGTAATTAAGCATATTTCTCACCATTCCTTATAATGCTCAGGACTCTCAAATCTAACAAATCCTAGGAGATTTGACTAATTGGGTAGAGAGCTGATGAACAATTAATAAGTTTATCAGTGGAAGAACAAAGCAGCTACCTTTTGCCTGTAAGAGAGGTTCTGTTCTGAAACTGGCAGAAGACCTTCTGCAGATGTTTTGAAGCTAATTAAAGTTCATTAAACCTTGGTATTTTCCCACCCCTTTCCATTTATTTTCTTTGCTTACCATTTTATACAACTCTTATGGCTAAGCACAAGCTAAATGTTACCCAAATCCTCAAATCTATTCAAATGTGACTGAGTAAACTTAATTAAAAGTTGTCTAATTTAAAAATGATACCTTGTATAAATCATGTAAATTTTCTACTTAGTCATCTTCCCTTTAACATAAAATAGTTTTGTGTTAACTCATGAATATTCAAAATTTAAATTTTTTCTTTTCTTCCTTCTGAAATACCTTCCAAGTGAAGTGCTGCTGACTGTCCTTTAAAAGAATCTGTTTAGATAGGTCCAGTTTTAAAGTCATTCTCCTAAACTTCTCACACCCCCATTTAGCAATTCCAAATTTAAATGTGGGATAATGGAACAAGCTCTGTTCAGATGAATTTCATTTAAATTTACTTGGACTTAAACCCTGTCTCTATTATATATGACCTATGTGTGATACAGGGCAAGGTGGTAAAGATCTGTGATTCAATTTTATCATTTGCAAAAATGAGAAAATTAATACCTACTCTATAGAATTGTGTGGAAAATAACTGGCACATGGCAAGCACTCATTTATTCTCTTTTCTCTTCTAGCTCTTTTCCAGACTAACTGAATCTGCTTCTTGGCATTTTATATTTATGATTATTCCAAAGAGCATACCCAGGTCTACCTCTTTTAAATTAGAGAAATAAAAAGCTATAACTTCATTTTTAAAATCAATATTTCATAAAGTTAATTAATTAGCATTGTGTTAACTCACTTCACACAGCAATTCCCCCTCCACCATGATTTCAGTAGAAATTAGAGGGAGAAAAACCAGGCTTTGTTCTCAGATCAATACCATCCTTGAAACTGCAGACTCAGAATTAGAGAGAGCATTGAAGATGACCTAGTCCACCCTTCCTTCTCCCAAAGGTCTGAAGATAGATAGAGAAAGGCCAAGGAAGTTAAATTTACTACCCCAACCTCCCCCAGGTCACACTCACAACAGTATTTATTTAAGTGATTTGTATCCAGGTGTCCTGATTCCTACTCTACTATAACATAGTAATTAGTTCATAATTTCCCACTCTATAAATCATGCTTAGAGGTTCCTTTCCTTCATAACAACTGAAAGGGGAGATGTAGAAAGGGAAATTTTTAATACTATAGGTTGAAAGATGTTTTGTGGGGGGGGGGCTAGACTGGGAGTAAAAAGGAGAAAACTGTTTTTGAACAGTGATTAAAATAAAATAAAAAAGAAATGTAAAATAAAAGAAAGATGTTTTAAATTAAAATAGGCTAAAAGGAAGAGTAAGAATTTAAAATAATAAATATTACTTAAAATAAGTGTGTAAATGTTATGCATATACTCTTTTTTAAAATTTTATTTTAATTGTTGTTGAAGTATAATTTTCTATCTTTTACTCCCATCCCAGCCCACCCACCCAGCCCTCCCCTCCTCCATCCCATTTCCACCCACCCCTAGTTTTTTATCCATGTGTCCTTTATACTTGTTCCTATATACATAAACTCTTAAAACTAATCAATGTTACATATAACACATGGTTTACAATGATGACATGCTTGCTTGCTATGTCTGATATGCTGATTTCCATCTTCTCAGGAAGATGCCAGTAAAAACAACAAAAGCCTGAGGAACTATGGTTATCTGAAAGTAATTCTCCAAATATCAGAAGAAAAGTCACTCTATAGAAGAGATGGCTTCAAACTGAAAAATCACTGCTGGCCAATGAAGGGTTTGGCTAATGAAGAATAAAAGTCCAGCCATTGTTAATATAACAAGAACAGTTTGTGTGACATCAATGTAACTTGGCACCCAAGGAGAGTGGACTGGAATATGCATGCATGAACAATGAGGACTTCACTGTACTAGTCAGGGAGGCAGTAGATGGCCTTGATGTGTACTGTGTGGCAGTGGCATTCAAAATGACTGAGTGAGCAGAGTGATGGATCTGCATCAAATTTTGAGTGAACCTTGAACATTCCTCTGTGGAAACTATTTAGATGATTCAGAAGGCCATAGCCATGGGCAACTAATGACTGGCTGCTTCATCACGACAACATGCCTGCTAATCCATCATATCCCATGCAGAGTTTTTTGGCAAAACATCAAATCACCCAGGTGACTCAGCCCCCTGCAGCTCAGATTTGGCACTCTGTGACTTCTGGCTTTTCCAAAACTAAAATCACCTTTGAAAGGGAAGAGATATCAGACCATCAATGAGATTCAGGAAAATCTCATCAGGTAGCTGATGGTGATTGGGAGAACTGTGTGAGGTCCCAAGGTCCCTACTTTGAAGGGGACTGAGGTGTCATTGTCTTATGTACAATGTTTCTTGTATCTTGTATCTTCTTCAATAAATGTCTCTAATTTTCATATTACGTAGCTGGATACCTTCTGGACAGACCTTATATATTTAATTGAAGAAGAGACACCACATAAAAACTTAAAACTGCTTAGAGATCTTTAATAACATATAATCTGAATGAAATTATTAATGCCAATTTCTAAGATTTCTTTAACAATTTTTTTTATTGTTGTTCAAGTACACTTGTCTCCATTTTCATTCCTCCAAGGTCCCCGGCCCCACTTATCCTTGCCTCCCACCCTCAAACCTACCCCCTTTGGCTTCATCCATGTGCTCTTTATACATGTTCCTTGATGGTCCTTCCCCTATTTCCCCCCATTATCCCCTTTTACCTCCCCTCTGATAACTGTCAGTTTGTTTTTTATTTCAATGTATTGGATTCTATTTTGCTTGCTTATTTGTTTTGTTGATTAGGTTCCACTTATAGGTAAGATCATATGGTATTTGTCTTTCACCACCTGGCTTATTTCACTCATATTTTCTAAAATATCACTAATTGCATCCTTAGAAAATTGATCTACAAGGAGAAATTAGAAATTCTGTAGCACCAACCTAGCATGCAGTAGTTGTGTAAGATGTTTTCCAGCTAGTTCCTTGCTTTTTATAAATCTGTCTTAAAACTGGCAGAAGACCTTTTGTAAGTGTCATTTGTTTCTCCCTCATTAATATTGATTTTATATGCTTTCTTTCTATAGGCTTAACAAACAGACATTTTCCCTTGGGTTACATTTGGAAGCAATACAATTTTTAATAAGGTGAACAAAATATAGAAGATGATTACCTTTATTATACATAATTAAAAAGTACACCTCATGGATACCGGCCTAGTTTTTGTAAGATCCACCAGCTTACTCACCTTTATAGGAAATAGTGGATGTCAGTTATAAAGAATATCACATTTGTTTACTTTAACCACCCTAAGAAAAGGGAGACCTATTAAAACCAGAACAAACCAAAGCAAAATAAACAAAACACCCACTCTCATGGGTGTTCTTATAAAACTTAACTTAAACTTCCTTTAAACCTAAGGAACTTTTGTAGGAGATGAAAGAATGCAATAAAAGCTAAATTATTAACAAAGTAAACAGGGTAATTCAGAAATTACCATGTTTAATTATCTTTCATTTTCATTTATCTTCTTATGATAAAATCCCACTACCTTACCTCCTTTAGAAAAAATACCAAAATGTTCAAAGTTTGTTAAAATTCATGGATTCCCAATTTCAGAGGCTGCTTTGCCCACAACTTTTGCTATCTGCTGATGGATGGCGACTTTGATAAGCATGATATATCTTACCAGCCCTTCACTTGGTTTGATGTTTGCCAGCTGAATCACTTCCAGGTGGGCTGACTGTGAAACCAGAGGATCTGATGACAGGGATATGATGTGGTCACAGACTCCAGAAAGGGTTTTACACTGAAAGCAAAAATAAGAAAGAAAAAATTATGGTAAATAAATGTTGTAAGTAACACATAAATCATATTTAGTTACAACTTTTTTACAAAGAAAAACAAAAGAAACTGTAGCAGTAGTTGGTATTTTATTCTATAAAATCTAAAAGGTAATCTATAAAATATAATATATTAAAAAGGTATTCAGGTGAAAAATTATTCATGCATACAACACACCTATATTCTAAATTATGGATATAAGAACTAGACACGAAATATTCAAGAAAGTTATGGGTATGTGCTAGTTCCATTATTTGATTCATCAGACCTAAAATAAAATGATTTTTCTAAACAATCTGAGAACTTCTTGATAACAACCATTCGATTGAATTGAATTCAATCATTTAAAAAACTTGTTGTCTTTTACTTCATGATTAGAATACTAAAAAAATTCAGCCAAGGTCCAGGGAAGATGAGTCTCCCAAATATGCTTCATGAACTCCTCCTACTTAGTCATCTAGACTTGCCTGCTCAAGGTTATCTTTGTATCAAGTTTTCTACCTCCTTCAGGCAAAGTCTGGCACTCCCTCAATCCTGCATTCTCAGCATTCTATGAACAGTCTAAAATTCTATGATAACTGCATTCTGAAGCCCTGTTGAAGCAGGGACCATGTCCTACTCATCTCTGACTTTTTGTCCACTCCCATGTACTACCCACACTAGGTAGACAACCCCTAGAACATATAGACATGAGTTGAATAAACTGAAGACCAAATGAGCTTTAACAATGATTAGAGTGGCTTGACTGAGGAAAGAAAGCTAGGGCTTTAGTTAAACCAAATTTATTCATACTGATATAGAACAAAAGATTTAAAACAGGGCATATCTGTAGTAGTATGATCAAGACTTAGACATCTAAACTCATGAAAAAGTGGAACATGAGAGGAGAAATCTTGGAATATAGTCCTAAAATATGCTGGCCCTTGGATGTTTCATAGACACTCACTCATCGTACTTAAAGAAGCCTAGTGTTGCCCTGGCCACGTGACTTGGTTGGAGTGTACCTTGTATACCAAAAGGTTGTGAATTTAATCCCTGGTTAGGGCACATACCTAGGTTGTGGGTTCCATCCCTAGTTTGGACACTTACAGGAGGCAACGGGTTGATGTTTCTCTCTCACATCGGTGTTTTTCTCACTCTCCTTTTTCTCCCCCTCCCTCTCTCCACTCTCTCTCTAAAATCAATAAACATATTCTCAGGTGAGGATAAAGAAAAAGAGACTGTTGTCCATCATCTGAGGGTTGTTTGCTTTTTTTTTTTTTTGCCCTACTGTAGGAGGAGGTATTCTTTTGTAGCAATTAAGGTGTTATCTTCTATCCATGTCCAACATGTACATTTATTCTGTGACTACTGCATTACCTTATTTCAAGGGAGACAATTTATTCTGCCTGGTCAGGGAGAATAAAAAAGAACTCTCTTTTTTATTTACTGCATTCTGTAATTGGTCCATGGTTTCAGTCTTTTCAGGGTTTATCTTCGTCACATGACAAAGACCGCTAGGCTAAATTTCTCTCCTTGTTTGCACTCCTGCTTTTGCATCTGCCTTTCAAAGCTGCAGTTTTATGGTGGATATCTGTCTCTAAAGACAGACATCAACTGGCACAGTGGCAATATCCATGAAAAGAACCTGGGCTTTGTATGAAGAGAGGTGTGGCAATCACCACACTGCCAGTGACTTGCTGTGTGGCCATGACCAAGTCATTTTATATCTGTGAGGCTCAATTTCCTCATGCAGAAAATAGGATAATAAAAATTACTTTCTAGGGCTTATATGACAAGTGAGGATAATTTATTTAAAAAGGAGTCTGAAGAATTCCAGCCAAGATGGAAGTGTAGGTAGATATTCTGTGCCTCCTCACACAACCAAAAGGAAAACAACAAATTTAACAACAAAAAAATACCAGAATTGCCAGAAAATAAAACTGTATGGAAGTCAAACAACCAAGAAGTTAAAGAAACATTCATCCAGACTGGTAGGAGGGGTGGAGACAGGCAGCTGGGGCAGAGAGGATGTGCGGCAAGGTGGCTGGAGGACCCGGTGGGCAAGGTAGCAGATGGCAAATGAGGCAAGGCGGTGGCTGGCAGACCAGGTGGTCCTACATTTACATGTGGATAAACAGGGAAGAAAAACTGGGGAGCAAGACAGGCCATACAACCCAGGGCCCCAGCCTCACAGGAGAGTTCATTGGAGAGACCCACAGGGTCCTGGACCCTGTACACAAACCCACCCACCCTGGAATCAGCACCAGAAAGGCCCAATTTGCTTGTGGGTAGTGGGGGAAGTAACTGAAAACCGGCAGAGAGTGGAGCAAGCAGGATTGTTCCCTCTCAGACCCCTCTCCCACATACAGTGCCATAACACAGAAATGCGGGTTGCCTAGCCCTGGGAAATACCTAAGGCTCCACCCCTTACTAGTAACAGGTGCACCAAGACAAAAAAGTTGGCCCAAATAGAAGAACAGATCAAAGCTCCAGAAAAAATACAACTAAGAGATGAAGAGATAGCCAACCTATCAGATGCAGAGTTCAAAAACACTGGTAATCAGGATGCTCACAGAAATGATTGAGTATGGTCACAAAGTAGAGGAAAAAGTGAAGGCTATGAAAAGTGAAATAAAGGAAAATGTACAGGGAACCAACAGTGACAGGAAGGAAACCAGGACTCAAATCAATGGTTTGGACCAGAAGGAAGAAATAAACATTCGACCAGAACAGAATGAAGAAACAAGAATTCAAGAAAATGAGGAGAGGCTGAGGAACCTCCAGGGCAACTTTAAATGTTTCCACATCTGAATCATAGGGGTGCCAGAAGGAGAAGAACAAGAGCAAGAAATGAAAAATTTATTTCAAAAAATAATGAAGGAGAACTTCCCCAATCTGGCAAAGGAAATAGACTTCCAGGAAGTCCAGAAAGCCCTGAGAGTCCCAAAGAAGTTGGACCCGAGGAGGAACACACCAAGGCACATCATCATTAAGTTACCCAAGATTAAAGATAAGGAGAGAATCTTAAAAGCAGCAAGAGAAAAGGAGACAGTTACCTACAAAGGAGTCCCCATAAGGCTATCAGCTGATTTCTCAAAAGAAACCTTACAGGCCAGAAAGGGCTGGAAAAAAGTTTTTGAAGTCATAAAAGTCAAAGACCTCCACCCAAGATTGCTCTATCCAGCAAAGCTATCATTTAGAATGGAAGGGCAGATAAAGTGATTCCCAGACAAGGTCAAGTTCAAGGAGTTCATCAGCACCAAGCCCTTATTATGCGAAATGTTAAAGGGGCTTATCTAAGAAAAAGAAATTAAAAAATATGAACAGTAAAATGACAACAAACTCACAACTATCCACAACCGAACCTAAAAAAAAAACCCCAAAACAAACTAAGCAAACAACTAGAACAGGAACATAATCACAGAAAGGGAGACCATGTGGAAGATTACCAGCAGGGAGGGGGAAGGGTGGAATGGGGGAAAAGGTACAGGGAATAAGAGGCATAAATGGTAGGTATAAAATAGACAGGGGGTGGTTAAGAATAGTATGGGAAATGGAGAAGCCAAAGAACTTATATGCATGATCCATGGACATGAACTAAAGTGAGGTGGGGGGGAATGCTGGTGGGAGGGGTGGTGCAGGGAAGAGGGGAAAAAAGGGGAGAAAAATAGGACAACTATAATAGCATAATCAATAAAATATATTAAAAATAAAATAAAATGAAATAAAAGGAGTCATATGGCTTATATGAAAAGACACTAATAAATGTTTATTCTCTCCCTATTGGTTTCTCTACTTTCCAAAAACTCAATTGTTATTTCTGGGATGAATTATGTCATTATTCTTAACTTCACAACCTTGTTGATCATATTACAATGACCAGCAATCACATTGCATGGTCGTCATGATGGCAAGTTCACAGCTCTTTTTCTCTTTCTCATGTTCAAGTCTCAGTACTCTCAGATACAAATTACCCTGAAGAGTTAACCAAAATGCCAACAAGAACACCCACTTTTCCCACCCAAACACGGGAGCCTCAAGGGACAGCTTCATGAGGGTGTGACCTGTGCAGTAGCACAAGGTCTTGCACTTAGTACTGTGCTATGCTGTTGCCATCTTGGAATTCTTGTTTTTGAACAAGGGTCTGGATATCTTCATTTTGCACTGGGTCTCATATATTATGTCACTCATCCTGGGATCCCAGTCTTGGTGTCCCATTTTTTTTTTAAACTCCTCTGGAAAATATTCATTAGCAGCCATGGGAAAAAGGACAGAATGGCAGGACTTTACATACCAAAATTGGCTACAGTTCAAAATGCTGTTCTTAGGAAGAGAAACACATTTGGGTAGATTTAAATCTTTTAACTATTTGTTTCCTCCCATATGTGGTTACATCTTCATTCTTGTTTTCTGTTTATCTCAAGGGGGGAAATAACATTAATTCTGAAGGGTTTCTATATAAGGATACTTGGATTGCATAATAATCTGAAGGTTACTAAATCTGTATGCTCTAAAGGACCCTTTCTAGTTTCTACAAATTGAAGCATATTTCAAAAGAGTCCAATGTATTGATAAATAGGAAGGTAATGGAGGTATATAAATGTTTTTAAATATATTTTATTGATTATGCTATTACAGTTGCCCTATTTCCCTTCTTCACTCCCCTCCACCTTGTACACCCTCTCCCACCCACTTCCCCCCTTCAGTTCATGTCCATGTGTCATACTTATAAGTTCTTTAGCTTCTACATTTCCCATACTATTCTTACTCTCCCCCTGTCTATTTTCTACCTACCATCTATGCTACTTATTCTCTGTACCTTTTCCCCCTCTCTCCTCCTCCCATTCCCCTGTTGCTAACCCTCCATGTGATCTCTATTTCTGTGGTTCTGCTCCTGTTCTAGTTGTTTGCTTAGTTTCTTTTGGTTTTGCTTTAGGTGTGGTTGTTAATAATTGTGAGTTTGCTGTCTTTTTACTATACATG